AACACTCTAACTCTGTTACCGTGTAATTTCGTTGTGCACGGTTAAGTTTTTGCGAAACGAATGATATTGGTCGTTCCCTGCCTTCCTCATCAAATTGATACAACACTCCACCAACACCGACTCTTGATGCATCACACTGCACTACAAATTCTTTTGAGAAATCTGGCTGTGCCAGCACGGGTGCACTAGAAAGAGCAGTCTTGATTTGCTCAAAGGATTCTAAAGCTAGTGGAGTTAGTTGAAATGGGCCATTATTTTTACGAAGGCAATCCGTCAACGGTCCGGCCATATTGGCAAAATTGCCTATAAACGAACGGTACCAATTGGCCATCCCTATAAACCGACGTAATTGTCGAGGAGATTTTGGCAAAGGAAAGTCCCTAATAGCTGCCACTTTATCGGGATCAACCTTTAAACAGCCATTCCCAATACGGTATCCAAGATACCTGATTTCGTTCTGACAGAACTTGCTTTTATGGACGTTTATAGTTAGCCCTGCATTTCGCAAACATTTTGCTACCTGGCGCAACAAATCTAAATGATTTTCGAAGTTAGAGCTACACACCAGTAGATCATCTAAGTAGATAAATACATTCTCCCTAAGCTTAGATGGAATGGTCTTGTCCATTAACCTACTCATCGCTTGCGGACCATTACAAAGCCCGAAGGGCATGACTCTATAATGATAGAGGGGTCTACCTGGTACCGCGAAAGCTGTTTTCTCTTTAGAGGATTCGGTGAGAGGAATCTGGAAGAAGGCATCTTTTAGATCGATACCACTTATAAAGTGAGTATCTTTCAATCTACTTAACAACCCATTGATATGTGGAAGGGGGTATGAGTCTTTTTTCGTGACCTCATTTAACTTCCTTGAGTCTAAACAAAGGCGCACTTTGCCGGGTTTTCTTACATTGACAATCGGGAAGCACCATGGGGAGTTTGACTCCTCGATGACACCCATTTCAAGAAGTCTGTCTAGCTCCTTGTATACTTCAGCCTGACGTGGCGGTGAAAGAGGATAATGTCGACACTTTATGGGAACGGCATCTCCTGTATCAATATGGTGTTTCATTAAGCTAGTACAACCCAGGCCTTGTTTCTCGAAAGATGGAAACTCCTGTACTACAGCATCAAGTTTAAGTTTCTGTTCTGGGGACAATTCATGAAAATGTAAATCCTTCTCAATGGTATCAACGTCTACTGACTCAATTATGGGAACTACATGGGGTGCAATTGCAAAAGCTCTCCAGAAATCGGTTCCTAAATAGAGATTTTGGAAAAGTGAAGGAACGACGTAGAAATTTATAGGCTTTGTTACGCTCTTATATGTAACTGGGAGTTCACAGTAGCCACAGACTTTTTGTTTTGAGCCATTGGCAGTGGATACAAAAGATTTAAAGGGTTTCAGGATGATATTGTGGCGTGTTATAAATTCCATGCTATCTTTACCTAATACTGACACACTTGCTCCCGAGTCTAAGAGCCCATAAAGGTTTTCTCCAAGAATTGAAACATTGGCAAATGGTCGGTCATCAGAATTATTACATAAAGTAGAAGATTCAATTAAATTTCTATAAAATTTACGTTTTTTATATCGTGTTCTACAAGATTGAATAGTTTTTGTTGGTATGTATATGGAATCTAAATTTTTAGAAGTATTAGAACTATGATTGTTAGATAAAATCGAAGTTCTTGAATCGTCCTCCTGTGGAGGAATCATCGGTTGAGTTATTGTAAACTCGGGGTCTGGGGTTTCGAACGAGAGTCCCCGGTAACCATCTCGCTCTGCTTCCGGTTTCCCAGATGTGAATTTGTACATTTAGTCGTGTTTACTCCTCTCTGGCCACATTTAAAACAGAAAAGGTGTCTAGTGTCCTCGGGGCAATAAATGTATGAATGGCCGAAATTAAGGCAATTCCAACATTTAATCTTAGAATAATCTGGCTTTGTAATACGGCGAGGAAGCTGTAAAGCCTCAACCTGCGGGTCAGTAACAAATTCACTATTTAAATCGTCCTCATTATCAATAACATCCATTTCATTTACTTGACGAGTGTTACTAACGGTCGGAAAGGGAACTTTTGTCTCCTTTAAAACTTTTTCCGCGTTTCTGGCCAAATCTCTCAACTCGTGTAGAGTTTTTGGTACTGTATTAAACAGCATTAATTTTAAATTGGTATTAACATTACGCTTAAGTATATCTATAAGAGTTTTCTCAGCGATCGGTTCTCTCATGCGAGAATTCATAGATACTACACAAGCATGGTAATCGTCGTAAGACTCTTTATGCTGTTGTTTACGAGTTGATAAACGAAGTAGAACATCGTGATCGGTTTCTAGATAACCAAATTCTTTTGTGATTGAACTCTTAAGGAGAGAATATTGAGCATTTCGATTTTGTTTAATAAAATCCCAAAACCAAGATTCTGCTTTTCCACTTAAAAATATATGAAAATTTGCCATCAAATGTTCACGACTACATTGAGTTCTTTCACACAAGGTATCTATTCTAAATAGAAAATCTGATACGCTACCAGTACCATCGAAATTGATTTTCCATTTTTCGAATTTAGTACTAACAATCGAAGTATTTGAAAGGTTAGAATTGTGGGGAGTGTTTTGAACATAACTAGCAGTGGGTATGGTTGGTTCACCAGAAGTAGAAGAAATATTTGAAATTGATTGTTTTATAGCAGTAAGTTCATTTCGCATTTCTTCTTGAGTGGACCTTATTGTTTGCTGAAGCATTGAAATAAGAGACTCTATGGAATTTACCGTCGAATTCTGTGAATTCTGAACATTTTCATTATTAGCATTAGTATTGGTATCCATGTTTAAATGGGACAAAATTCTTGCCTGGTTATCAATAAATCCAGATGGAACTAATAAATCTTCAAGAGATGATTGATTTATGTTCTGGAATGATTCCTCAAGCAACTGTCTTTGAGTTTTTTCAGAAGAAGAACTGGTTGCAGATTGTGTATGAGAAGTAGCTTGCTGAGAAGACGTAGGAAGTGTGTTTGTGGAATTTGAATCAGAACTTTGATTACTCTGTTGGAGTGCGATATCGTCAAACTGACTATTCAAATTAACAACAGTACGATTAATTTCCACAGTGTTTTTTCGTGGTGGAGTATGAAGAACTTTTGGTCGAGAACTAAGAGGGTTTTGATCCTCTAATGAAATATTTGGGGTCGTAACTACTTTACCTCTACCTCTAGAAGAGCTCTGACTATTACTGGAATTTCGTATAGAACTACGAAAATTATAACTCATGATATAAAAATGAGCTTTAAAAGAAGTATTTACAGCTCACTAATTATTGTTTTATCTTTCTTTATATATTTTAAATAAAGACAAAAATTATGTGTGTATAAATATAATTCACAAAAAATATAAGATTTCAATATCATTATTTATTGAGGAATTTAACTAACTAAACATTACGGTCATACTAAGATACTCTCTTCGAACAGGCGATTAAAACTTAATCGTATATTCTTATAAACATTGTTCGAAATACTAAAAACAAGGCTTTTGAATTGCCTCATGAAAATTACAAATAGAAACTCTCACATTTTGTCTTGAAATTATGCGGTTTGCAATTTTAATTTGAAGATAAAAATTTAGTCATATGCAACATAAACTTAAATATTAACAACTCGAAAAGTTTTGGACTCTATAACAGATTTTTGATCATATTTCAATAGTCAAGATTAGGTACTTTATTACAAACAAATCGTCTGTTATTAAACAAATGATTTGTGACTTAGAAAGTTCTAAACTTTACTAAAGAAATCAAGTTTTCAAAAGGAGAGTTATGAAAATGTGATAGACAAATTTTAAATATTCATTTCAGATCACTATTTTCATGCATAAAGTTGGAAAATTACAAATAATGAATATTGTAAGAAATATAAATTTTTAATAAATCGTAAGAAGCTTTTAATATGAAACTATTAATACAGCTCCGTGCGTTGGGCGCCATCTATGTTACGCGTAGATTCATTTCAACGATTTGAAACTAAACTGTAAAATCTAGCGTCGGCGGCATGCTGGTGTTCCATCGACTAGCTCTGTCGGCTGTGGTGTGGTTCTTACACCAAATTTTACAATAACGTGTAAACATAGAAAAATGTCTCATGCCATTTAATAAATACCACAAATTATTGAGCAATCATTACAAATATTCAACATTTTAATATAAATCCAATCTTTAAGAGAGACAAGATGTTAAGTCGCTCGAAGTGCATTTTTCCCACCCAAAATTACCTATGGTACTCCTATGGTAACCTACACACTTTTCATTTTACTAAGATTACCCCTTTTAGGTGAGAGTATCGAAGTTAAGTAGCCTTCATGTTAGTTAGTATAATTCCTCAATTGAAATAGACTTTTAGCAATTCATAGTAGATGAAATTTTATTCATTAAATATTAAACAAAATTGGAAAAATATATAGGTAGAAACTATTATGTATCTGAATATTCATAAAAAACTGAGTTATATAAACAGTACATTATACCATTAAAAAATGTATGTAATAGAATCTTTAAGTTACATGAGTACAATTGTACGGAAATTATTAAAAAAAAAAAAAATTATTACTTCATTGGGATTAAGTAAATTTTAATCTTAACTAGATCTTAAATATACTAAGCTATGCCCTAAAGGGTTAATTTTCCCTAAAGAAATAATTAGAATAGTCTTATCAAAAGCAAAAACAAAATATAATTTTAGCAAAAGAAATCATTAAAGGTTCTCTCTGTGAGGAATCAATAAAAGTTAATAAAAATAAATTCAAACAAAATAATTATGTTTTGTTGTTGCTTTTGTTTATACTAATAATAAAGAAGAAATATGCAAACATGTAAAATAAATAAATAATTACTTTTGATCACTCACCAAAGTTTAAAAATTTGTTGTTGTTGGGACTTACAACTTACATCATATATGTTTGAAGTTTTACTGGTTTGATGACGTAGAGGCCTCTCGAACATCTGCATCCAGTTGTTTTTATACTATTGGGGCTGGAGAAAAGTAATTTGTTGCATATTTCTAAGTAAATATTAAGAAGTATAACAGTTAATAATAAAAAATACGGGTTAACTTAATTATACATACCATACCAGACTTATTTACATTACTTATTGACTATAGCTAATTATAACTAAATACATGTATTGTTGTATGTGCATGATTTCAAATATGAGTTTTATATCAAATGTTATTAAGGAATTTTACTTTTAAAATGTAGTGTAATCAAATTACATCTAATATGCACGTACTACAAGCGGATTTCAAATAGGTATTATATAAGTTTTACTGGAAATAGATGATCTTATGAATTTGGGAAGAAATACAATATGTTCGTATAATTCAGACTCTGGTTTGGTGATTGAATTGAAGTACAGATTTAGTTGTAGAGAATTGTTTCAGTTGGTACGGTTAGTGTTAAATTATTTTGGTACCCTTTTTCCAAATTTCGATTTTATGACTTTGTGTGTTTTCCTCTGTATTCTTATATTTATTGTAGACTAAGCATATACCCATTCATTCATGACGTCATAATGCGTGTTTTGTCCAATTCTCAGTTTATTAAATGCGTAAATATCAACACAGTTCTGGTGGAAATTATACTTCCACTTTCTACTCATCTATCAGGGATAGTTTATTTAGAGTCAGGTATAATCTTGATCTTCTGAAGCTTTCTTTTAAATTAAATTTATACGAAGTTTTCAATTACTTTAAAAGATATATCGTGAAGACCATATCATTGGGAGCCTTAATAGGCTACGTGTCCACGTGTGTCCCTTAATTTTAGGTTAAGATCACTTCACTATACGGGATTTGTAATGTTAATTAAATCACATAAATAATCAGTAACAAAATATTACCTTCGGATAATTTTGGTTGATACTTCGGTTTAAATTATGGTTGGAAGACACTTAATTTGATCTTTGGAATAAAACTATATAACCTGATATTATTTTTGGACACTAAAAATTACTTATATCTTTGGTTTCGAATATTAATTAAGACACGTCTGGATGATGCAAGTTCAAAATGGTAAAAGAACGAGTTAATCTCGTGTAAAGTAAAAGAAAACTTCTCGATAATGTGAGTGTTTGCGTCAGTACATGTCAGAACAATTACTTTTACATCGGGTATTCAGAAGTATTCAGCATTACCAGTATTAAATTTCAATTAACCCTTAAGCTGTTATATGGTTAGCAAAGACAAAAACCAAAACACAACTGATGTAAACAATGTAATTTTCCGATATTGTTTAAGTAAAAGAGATGTAAATATACGTACAAAGTTTTGTTAAGTTGACAAAAATAATTTTCCTTATTAAAGTAAATAAAATGTAGAACAATTTTACTATATTGTCATTAAAAAAACAATACCATCACTAGTTTATAAAAATAAATACTTGAAAATGAAAATGTTCACGATTTATACCAAAAGTGTATAGAATCCCTAACACATCTATTCAACCAATAAATATCAAATCCAATTTAACCATTACCATAAAAATAAACCTTCAAATGAAACTCACTGTTTGTATGTCTTACTAACCAATAAATATTCTATTTCTAAATAAAAATTACAAATTCAAAACAACTATTAAAAGCACTAACAACAACAAGAATAACAAAAGCAATAATAAATACTTATGTATTTATGTATGCATCTAACCATTTATAGAACTCATCTCATAGTCATCAGCAACATCATTAGAAAACGACCATCATCATCTCGAATGCAACAACAAATATCAATAATGTATTTAATGTTTTACTATTTTAGTCGAAATGCATTTTGAATAATAATAATAGTAAAATTGCAAATACTTAAATGAGTTTTCAAATTTTGTTTACGAGTAGACTATGGTAATTTTATATTAAATGTGTGCATATTAGGAATATTTGCCTACAGTCGTACTATAACAATCATTTTGCTATGAAACACTACGCCTAGACAGGAGGAGAAAAATTGACGTACAAACTGACAACATGTTAACATAAAGATCGGTTAAAAAATCCTACACTGAAAATAATCCATGCTTAACTTTACGAAAGAGAATTTCGAAACTACTTGTTTCGTAATATTTATGAAAATTTCGTGTATAATACGAAATACTATTTAATCAAAACATTTTCTAATTTTACGAAAGCACGAACATTTTGGTTAATATCTTTTTCGTAAATTTAAGCGAAATTAAACATAATAATATTAATAAAAAAATTTAAATATTTTGCATTAAACTAAAATATTTTCATCAATTTCATATATATTACGAAACAATTTCGTGTTGCGAAACAACAAAGCATTCGTATATATTAGACATGGATAATTTTCAGTATAGAAAGATATTAATACGTGCTGCAAACTAGTTACTCGGTGTTCGATCATTTTAAATTAGGAAAAGTCGTTTTATAAACCAATAATAAAGCATTAATAACTTTATGCATACTGAAGTGTTTATTTCAATACCCTACAACAATAATGTAGATATTTATATGCATATTTAAAATGTGATATATTGTATGAGACTAGGTGAAATGGTTTACGTCCACGGTACTGTAGAAGATCACGCATCATTTGAAATTTGCGACCTTTAGTTTAAAAATTATTCCGATATAAACTTCCTACTTTGATGTAGAGTAAAAAATGTATTGAAACGCTTTGCATGATTGCCTGCCTGACTGCTTGTATCCTTGTTTCATTGGTTGCTTATTTTACTGACATCATAGATTTGATTTCATTTTACTGGTAATAGTTGTGGCAGAGTATTCAAAGAGTTAATTTTTATACCCACCATCAAAAAAGATGGGGGTATATTGATTTTGTCATTCCGTGTGTAACACATCGAAATATTGTTCACAGACCCCATAAAGTATATATATTCTGGGACCTCGTAAGATTCTAAGACGATCTAGCTATGTCCGTCCGTCTGTCTGTTGTTGGCGTCCACAAAAAAAGAGATATTGAGATGAAATTTTCCCAAAATATTTTTTATTGATCATAAATTTTTGGCATTGAAAATGGGCAAAATCGGTCAACGATTTCACATAACCCCATACAAATGTACCCCCCGGAATATTGTATAAAGAGCTTCAAACATTCACAAATTCGTTGTTTATGAAGCAAATACCGCAAAATTTCGCATAGGTCAGTTTTTTGACTTCTCAAATTATGGTTGACATAGGACCATAATTGGTCCTACCCCCCTTTAGAAAATGACTAAAAAGCTGATTACTAGCTTAAAAATACGAATATAGCAATGAAATTCGACACACATAAGTTTCATGCGAGCCAATATCTCTCCACCATTCTATGGGGATCGGTCCATAATTGACCCTACCCCTCATATAAGGTCCCCTTCAGAAAATGACTTTAACGCTTATTATTGGCGTAAAAATACGAGTATAGCAAAGAAATTTGGCATAAGTTAGTAACTTAGGAGTCAAAACCTTTCCACCAATTTTTATGTGGATCGGTCCATAATTGACCCTACCCCCCATATAAGGTGCCCTCCATAAAATTACTTTAACGGTCATTACCAGCTTAAAAATACGAGTATAGCAATGAAATTTCATAGAAGTAAGATTTATACGAGCCAAAATCTCTCTACCAAATTTTATGTGGATCGGTCCATAATTGATCCTACCCCCCATATAAGGCCCCCTTCCGAAAATGACTTTAACGCTCATTATTGACGTAAAAATACGAGTATAACGAAGAAATTTGACATAAGTATGTGTCTTAGGTGCCAAAACATTTCCACCTTATTTTATGTGGATCGGTCCATAATTGACTCTATCCCCCATATAAGGTCCCCTCCATAAAATTACTTTAACGCTCATTTCTGGCTTAAAAATACGACTATAGCGGTGAAACTTAACAGAAGTAAGTTTTATACGAGCCAAAATCTCTCTACCAAATTTTATATGAATCGGTCTATAATTGATCCTACCCCCAGAAAATTACTTTAAGGCCCATTACTGACTTAAAAGTATGAGTATAGCAATGAAATTCGACTCAAGTAAGTTCCTTGCCATCCAAAATCTCTTAACCAAATTTTTTGTGGATCGGGCCTTAATTGAACCCCCCCCCCCCCCCCCCACATATAAGGTTCCCATCAGAAAAATAATTTAACGTTCATTACTGGCCTAAAAAACGAGTAAAGCTATGAAATTCGACACTGATAAGTTGTATAGGAACCGAAATCTCTCTACCAATTTTTATGAGGATCAGTCCATAATTACCCCACCGAAAATGTTTACAACGCTCATTACTGGTTGGAAATTATACATAAATATGATTAATGATAAATATGACCCCATATAGGGTCCCCTTAAGAAAATTACTTTAACTGACTGAAAATACGAATACCGCAATGCAATTCGACATAAACTAATTTTAAGCTAAAATCTCTCAACCATATTTTATGAGGATCGGTCCATAATTAACCCTAACCCTGTATAAGGTCCCTTTAAGAAAATGACTTTAATGTTCCTTACTGGCTTAAAAATATAAGTAGAACTATAAAATTTGAAATAAATAAGGAACTGAAATCTTCACTGTCAATAGTTGAACCCCATTAAGAGAACTATTTCAAATATTACCCTGATGTTCACATTAGTATCGATATATGTATAATAATAAAATATTCAAAATATCAAAGTTTATTTATATGGCAGTGATTTGATGGTGGGTATATAAGATTCGGCATAGCCGAATATAACACCCTTACTTGTTGATATTATTTTCGAATAACAATATCAAGAATAGGCCTTGCAGCATAAATATCCGATTATATCATAACACAGGTATTGAAATCCCAGTCAGCAAAAGTTCATTTAAAAACTTTCGGACCTAGTGCTACTTTCCACATTTAAATTATCAGTATGCATTGTGTGCGGACTTCATGAGAATTAACATAGATGTTGATCGTTATCATCGGGAAACTGTAGAAGTTTTAGGATAACTGTAGAAGTTTAGTGTAAATAAAACTACTTAA